GTGCTGAGTACAGTAGAGAGTGTAGGGAGTGTGAATTAAAATTCAGCTCTTTGAATGATAACATCACAATTGGACTCAGGGATCTCACTGAGTCAGTGTTTGCGTGATGGCTTTGTCTGTCACACTGCTGCCCCCTGGATATATGATGGAGATAAAAGCCTTGATGTGTTAATATATATATATATATATATATATAAGGTGTGAATATGTGTCACGGGAGATTATTTCAACACCGTTATAGTTTCCATGACTATAATTTAATGGCCTGACAGTCTCGTACTCAGTTTTTGTTCTTCTCATAGAAGCTGAAAGAAATTAAATTAAAATACAATTCAAAGAGAAAGCTTCACAAATCTCCAGTGCTAACTCAATACTGAACTAAATAAATAACTCTGCTAACGCAGAATACTTTGAAGATTTGCTGCCATTTAATTATAGTAAAAAAGGCAAAAGATCATTTTTAGAGCGTTATTTTTTTGTAAAGCTAGGGTTTTCTGCTCGCTTAAGAATTAAATACATTATAAAAAAATAACTTGTTTGCAATTTATTAAAGCAAGCGTATCTGTTTGTGTGTGCGTGTGTGTGCTTTTAGGAAAGTAACATAGCGGCAGCATTGACAGCAAACAACATCTCTCGACGCCTGTCGTTACTCTGTTGGTACTGACCCAGATTATGGTATTTGTTTATTTTGTTTACTTCTCTGTGTGGGCTAGTAGTTAACACATTAAGCCTCACACCATGAAAGGATCTGTGTTAGCTCTGTTAGCACAGGCTGCCGCTGCATGATAAACAAGCACAGGGATCTAGGTCGTCATGTCACCTTATGCAAATGACACACAATGGTTCCTGTCAGATTTAGATCTCGGCCCATCTCATTAGACTCCTTCTATGCATGGAATGTGAGGGCCGTGCATTGATTAAACGCAAATTGCACACAAACATAGGTTTAGATTTAGATATGGTCGACCTGGCCTGGTATTCACATCAGTCATTATTTGCACATTACATCAATAATATCATTCCACCATGAGATTTACTTTGCAGCTGAGCCAGGAATTATTTACATTTTTGAAGAAAAGTATGAGCTTTAGATTTTGTTGACTGTAGACTGTATATATATATATATTTATACTTTATTATTGTTAGAGAATATCATAGCTGACAACTGGCATATGTGAACTGTTGGGTTCATGCTCCCTTTGTTGTGGATTTATTTTATTATTTAATGCTGCTTGAATAAAATGGAAGAAGACAAATTAAAGGAAAAAACAGAAGCTATTTATGTAAAAATAATTTATTTTATTTTTTCTGACAGATATGAGCCCTACAACCACTACTACAAGGACTTACATGATTGACAACCTGCTAATACACGTGCAGTACAGGTTAAGTATTCACAGTACAGTGGAGTCAGGTGAAAGGGATTTAATTGCAAAGCCGTTTTTAGCATAGCCTATTTTTAGCAATGGCCAAGTTCTTACCTCAGCAGTGCAGATAGTAAAACATCCTAAAAATACCTGCAGGAATTTAAAGAAACAGTCACAAATATTTTTCTTCTATTCTCAAGCCCAGAAACATATCTGTGTTTAGTGATATATTTGGAGAAGAAGACACTTGCCTCGGCTACTGAAGATGGTTCAGCTGAATTACTTTAAATTGTATTCTATTCTATGTCTAACTAAAGTAATCCTGCTATTCCCCCTCCGTTTTTTGATCGACTTGGAGTTGCAATACTGCCACCTAATGGGTAATCCCATTCTTTTTATCCCAATTACTTGCATAAAAAGATACAAAGGAAATGATAGCAGGAGGCAGCATCACTACAGATGTAGTAACATCATCATATGTATTTGTCCTGTGGCCCATATATATATAATTCAGTAAATAAAAATGATTTTTTTTTTTAGTAATTTTATGATAAGAACATTTCTTATTTGTTTGTAAAGACAGTTTTTAAATCCACTGATCAGCTTTAACGTTTGGCCTGTCCTTGGACATTCAGTTGGCGGTGGCTTTTTTTTTTTCTTTTGACTGAAAAGCTCACCAGTTAACTCTCCAGTGCTGGTCAGATGTGCACCAAACATCCACTCAGCCATACTCTTTAATGTCTGCAGAGCTCATAGGACCCACTCCTTTGACAGGCTCCCAGCCCAGCCATCCCTAACTGTCATTAAAGTATAAAGCACTACCTGAGGCTTTAATCCTCCTATCAGCCAGGACCTGGACTTCACCAATGGCACAGCACGCTAAACTGGCAGCGAGAGCCTCAGGACATGTGCAAGTCTTGACTAGCCACGGTGAACTGCATTAAAATACTGCATCCATTTACATATCAATGGAAGCGTCAATTTGGTTTAACAATAAAACTGCCCTGTTGCAAGAGCTTGGAAAAAGTTGCAAAGTTTAGAGAATAGTGAAAAAAAAAAATTAAATAGCTGCAAAAATGTAACCCCCTCCCTCATCACATATTCACATTTTTGTCAACTATGTTTTTTTAAAAACATTATTTGACATTTTATGAATTAATTTTAGCCAACTACAATGTCTTCTTTATAATTGTTGACTTCACACAAGCCCACCCCTCATATCTGCACCGTTATTATTGTTGAGACTGCAGGGGCCACAAAACATAATTTCAAACCTCATTTAACACTGAATTGCGCCCCTTCCTGGAATCCAAATTGCTCACCACGGAGCAGAGCAGTAGCTCCAGACATTCATTAACTTAATGAAAACAGGACATTCTTCTACCACCCTACCACCCGTTGAGCCTGATCCTGACGTAGCCACAGCCACAGCCGCCATCTGCTCCCAGGTTCCTGATCCCACTGTAGGAAAGTCCCGTCAAATAGTCCCTGTGACCAAAGGCGTCCGCGAATGGTTGCTTTCATCAGTCAGATCAGAGGACGAGACAAGGACAGGAAGAAACTTTCTGGGTTTCATCTCTGTCCTTGGCGCCTCCCTTCACTAAGATGGAACATTTCCTCTTGATGCTAATCAAATGCATGGAATAAGCTGAGTCTGCATTTGTAGGAGTTGAGCTGCAGCAGCCACGCAGCTGGCAGTGAAGTTATTAGACGCTCCGTCACAGTGGGAGAGCCTGATTTCTGAAAAGGTTAATAACATTTTAGGCTTGGCCAGTGAAGACTGTGGTGGTTGGCTGACCACCTGTTCAGCACTCAGGTGGTCTCTCATCACTTCATCCAACAGCCAATATCCAACAAGTGAAGGTCAGAGCCACACAAAAAGTCTGTGATTAAGGGTGGTTTCTGATTTGAAACCATGAAGTTTTGCATTTATTTTTTTATTACTATTTTTTTATTAATGAGGGTGACTTTTTAATAGTTGTTATCCTGTTAAACATGAAAAATTACTGAAATGCACACTAAAAGTATATCAAGAAATATAAATAATATTTTTTTCCATAAGTATTAAAACACAAGTATTTTGTGTGGTGGTTAATTGAAATAAAAATCAAGTGCAATTCCGTTTGGACCCAGAGGCAATGTCTCTGTCATTGGTGTGGAACCCCAGGGTTCACTTCCTGGGCAATAATCCTGGTTAGGGCGGTTGGTACCTTCCAGTGGATTCACCACCCGCAGGTGGGTTCAGGGTGGTTGGTACGGTGCAGTGTGATTTGGGTGGCGGTCATGGAGACTGCTGCCCCTGTGACCCGGGGACGGATAAGTGGATGAAAATGGATGGATGGATGGATGGATCAAGTGCAATTCTTTTTTCTAATTCATATTACTATAATGCAAGGGTGCCTTTAAACTCACTTTAACTGACCTGTTCCGAAACATGAAACTAAATTATTTTAATAAAAAAGGTGAGGTTCAGGTGTGTTGTGCCTAGATATTGAACATACTGGACAGGGGATGTTGGAGATGGAGCTGAAAGGCAAGAGAAGGGGAAGGCCCTTGGAAATTATTTATGAATGTAGTAAAAGTGGACATGGAGATGGTTGGTGTAAAAGGCAGACCTCTGAAGAAGAATTCAGAAGAAGAAGAAAATATTTTTTTATAAACACTTTATAGTTTTCCTTCATTTGACATTTGACATTTGACTTCATTTGACATTTGACATTTGACATTTGCATTTACCTAACTCAGTGATTGCTGTAGCCATGGGCAGGGTTCGTTTGTGACTTAAAAACGTTTTTAGTATGAAACTGGTTAAGATGATTATTTTTTCAGTGGGTGCAAAACAACGCCTAAAGTGTCTTATTTTCTTTGTGATCTCATTTTATCTTCAGAAACATTTCATTTGACTACAGTCATGAGTTCAGCTCCTGCATTAATCGCTAATCTCAGCAGAGTTGTGCCTGCATCCACTCAGAGTACTTTTCTCATATAAGCACTGTCTGATGCATAGAGAGGAGGCAATGATACTCAGAGCCCAGAGGCTTGCTAGTTTGTCATTTGGATACTATTACTTAATTTCCCACAGGGAAGAAACTCATTATTTCTGACTTTATCTCAGCACTGACCTCTTAAACACTCTCAGGAACGTTATTGTTTTGAGCTCATGTTCCCTTTTTTTTCTTCTTCCCAGGCAAGGCAAGTATGACCCTTAAATGCCAAAAGGAGACATGACTGGCAAAAAAAAAATGCAACGCAAGAATGGATGCACAGACCGCAGACGAGATCAGAGTTCTAAACACTTTTAATGTGCATGTACAGAGAGCACAATTATATTGATTTATTACTGACCACGCGGCTGCTTTCCCGCGTATGATGAATGGTGAATGGAACGTGAGATAATATTGATACCACATGACAAATGGCCAGTGGAGGATATCCTATGGTTAACCTTTTCTCCAAATGGATCAAATTCTTTTAATAGCCAACACAGTAATAGAGCAAGGCACCGCTTCTGAAATGTTTGTCAGGATATATGAGTCTGCCTTTCCATTGTATCTCCTTTTTTTTTTTTTTTTTTTTTTTTTTTTTTTTTAACAAACGTGGTTAAAAAAGTATTTTCTCTGTCCTTTTCCACAGTTTAATTTTGTGGGGAAGCTGCTGGGACCACGAGGAAATTCTATGAAACGACTGCAGGAGGAAACCGGGGTGAAGATGTCCATCCTTGGCAAAGGATCTATGAGGGATAAAGACAAAGTAAGAAAGATATTGATTTGTGTTGAAATATAGTTGGGCCGCTCCAAGTTATAGCTCAAGAAGAAATATTCTCCAAAATGAAGAAGTTGAACAACAACAACAGCTGAGCTTAACTGAGATGAATGGCACCCAGAGTGGAATTAATGACTTTTTCTGCACAAACATATGTAGGAGAAAACAGAAATGTGTTTTTTTTTCCCAGTGATGAAGTTTAATAGCATATTGTGTAACACTCAATTATGAATGCAAAGTACTGAATCTCTTTGCCAAAGTCATTTATCCTGCTGACTTGCGGTCCCCCAGAGCCAAACTTATCCGAGCATGTAGACGACATCCTTCTGGATGTGGTATTCACACTTAGAGCAGGTTTCAGTCTGCTGCTATAGAGTTACATGGCTGTTATCTCTGTACCCACTGATTCAGACATCCCGACATGACAAAAGACTCTTTGTGGAAACTCAAGCTGAATTTTAATACCCAGTAGTAGCTGTTAAACATTTCACTGCCGTTTTTGGTTTTCAGTTGTGTTACAATCGTTCTAGATTTGCCTTGACCACAAGCAAAATGTAACTGGAGCTACTGTTTTATTGCTATTTCATTCAATTTACCCTTGCTGTATCTCATGAAATCAAAACCTGCAACGTCTTCTGGATATGTCATTTCATCCTTTCACAGTTCAAAAACATGAAGGATAAGTTTGATTGGTCATTATAAACCAGGGGTCTTGAGTTCAAATGAGCTGAGGGCCACTGCTACAACTGTCATTTCATCCATGGGGGCATTGATGTTCAATGTGAAAAAAGCCTGGTATATATATTTTGATTTTGATTATGTCCTATAGTGTCACAGGTATGAAGAGGACCCAACTCTAACAACAGATAACTCAAATGTCATGCACATTCAGCAGCAGTTTCTGCCTTTGTCTTTTACACAAACCACAGATTAGACTATACATTTTATTCAATTTAGGTTGTTTACTAACATTTATGGGAAGGGCGGCTGTACATATATACAGTTCTTGTTGTGGTGCTGTTCTCCACTTGTCCCTATAAGTCAGGAGGAGACAAACACCGTCTGCTGCAGCTTCAGAGTAAACAACCAAAAAGCCTTTATTGCCGTCTTCCACTAAAGCATGTCTACACTGGACTTGGTTTGGTGTCTACGCTGCTTGATATTGATTTTGTGAAGAGCCTGAACTCTTGTGTAGTCTGTACGACAGAGAACCTAATACTGACTGTTCTGAACAAAAAGACAGGCTGTCATTCAAAACAGTTTGTCCCCCTGAAGAGTGTCAAGTAAACAACATCAGTCTCATAAGGCACGGAGGCACATAAATGTCGCAGAAAAGTAAAATCACAGGATGGGGATTTTTCTTTTATCACTGCAGCACATAGACTCATAACACACCATATGGTCAGTGTTACATCTTTTGCATAGGTATTAGTCTGTGTAACACTGTGCTGAGTCATACTGTAGCACGGCTCCAGCAGAGAGTCCTCACTTCACCTCGGTGAACCTGGACGCTGTACCCAAAGTCAAAGCCCACATGAATTGTGGAAATGAAATTTATATATTTCTGAGTTCCTTAAAGCAGTGCAAACAGAATATTGATTGACCAAACATGCAGGTATCCTGTAGCCATGGTGACGGATGTACAGCTCTTTCCGCTGTAAAATAATCTCCCTAACACTTCAATGGTGAGGTATTTAAAGGTCTCAGACACATCTTGGTCTGATCCACAGTGACCCGGGCTCTCTGGGCTCTGAGAACGGGAATCTTCGTGAAATTTGGCAGCAATTTTTAATTAAATCTGAAGTGGAGGACAGCCCAGTGATGCAGGGACACATGCTTGAATTCCCAGTTGGAGTGGGCCGGACGGGAGAGTGTGTATGACTGACATGGATACACAGTTGTCCTTGAACAAGATAATCAGCATCTAACTGTTATGGGGATTAATAAATGTGAATGAAAAAAAAGAAAAAAAAAAGAACCTCCAGTGTTCCAGTATGGAGCAGAACATTTTCACTATTATTGTGAGAGCAGCAGCTGCTTTTGTAACAACCAGAACAAGGTTAATATCAACACTCAATGGCAACCATTATTTCTGGTCCCTGTGTATAATTTCATTTATAATTTCATTAAATCTGTAGAACTGATGTATTGAGTGTCAACATGGCAGGAATCAGGCAGGACCCAAATGCAGCACAAGGGTGTGGGTGCAGCAGTTTTATTAACAAAGTGCAAAAGAACAGAAAATCACTTCACAAGGCTTAAACTCCAACACATGAACTCCCAACACAGCACAAAGCACAGTGACTGACCAGTGAGTGAGGGAGAAAGGTATATAGACCCAGGGCACCATGTGACACGAGTGAGACTAATGACAAGGACACAGGTGAATGTGATCACACTAACTCCACCCAGCAGACGGAACAGAAAGGGGAAACAGACAACCCTAACATGATGTGTCTATTGGGTAAGAAATAGTGACATCTAATGGTGATATTGTAGATTTAACACCTCAAACAGAGGACCAATCCCTACTATGTTTACCTCCACCTGGGGTCACCACAGTGAGTTATCTGTGTACATCTAACCCCATCCATTTCCTTCTCTTCTGTTTCACCCAACATCTTTATCTCCTTTTCTTTTCTGCCTTTCAGGCAGCTCCCTGCTGTGTAACATATCCACTACCACTCCTCAGCAAACATCCAAACCATTTCAACCTCGTCTCTCTTAAGTTTTTCTTTTGTTATTTTCTTCTCCAAGCCGCTCAACCTGAGCTGATCTTCTCGTTTCTAATCCTGTCCATCCTTGTCTCTCCCAATTAGCATCTCAGTATCTCTGTTTCCCTTCACTCCTTGCATCCCCATCTTTTCAGCTTTAATCTTATTTACACAACCGGATTTGTTCTGCTTCAGCTGACATTCACTCCTTTCCCATACAGTTTCGACCTCCATCTCTCCACACGTTTCCTTCACCTGCACAAACTAATATCTGCAAACATCATGATGTGTTAGGCCTCCTGCCTGACCTTATCTACTAACCTGATTATAACCAATGCAAACAGGAGGAGGATTAGGACTAATCCCTGTAGTGACCTTATCTGAAACTTTGAACTCATCTGTCACTCTGATGGCACTGCACACTTTTTTTTTACTGTCCTCATACATCAGTCGCATATACACCAGTGTTTATTTTTGAGTCTTGGTTTTTGTCATTGGACTAAATTGTGTCTTGGTGCCAATTTAGTCAGTATCTAC